TTTTTAGGACCTAAACGCCCCCCTCAGGAGCCCTACGGTAGGTTCGTGTCGTGTCGACCGGCGGCGACCCCGCCAGCGGCGTTCAATTTTGAACGCCACGGGCGACCCAGAATCGTTCGATGTGGAACGATTGGACGTTTCGAAAACGGCCGATCGTTCAAGGTTGAACGATCCCCGCGGTGTCAGAAACCAACGCTGGGGTCGGCACGACACGAACCTGCCGTAGGGGTTCCCCTTTCTGCAGCCCTCGCTACCCCCCCTTGGATCGCCCCCGTTGAAGTCGCGCCCAGAGGTCCAGCACCGGGCGTTGCCGGTGGTGGCCCTGGCCCAGTGTGACCCCCCCCTTCTCCCAGGGAGGCCCAGACGGGGGGGGGGGGGGCAGGGCGCCTCGAGAGGACGCGAGAAACTGGGGACACGTTGGCCAGGAGGAGCACATCTGCACAAGCACAACTATACGTTTCCGGACGTGCAGATTTGCAGCATCGGGGAAGTCGAGGGAAAGAGGATACCCCAGGAGATACAAACAGTTTGCGTAAGCCTGGGATTCTTGACGCTTCGCGTATCCCAACCAGACTCCCTGGATCGATGTCCTCGGGAACGTTCCTTTCTGTTCGCATCTGGACTCTGGGAACGCCTCACGCGCCATTTTGGCTGCGCTTGGTCTCCTCGGTGCCTGTCCTCAGGCTTCCTGGATGCACCGTTGCATGCCCGTCCAGGGGCTGTCTCAGACTCCCTGGATTGCACGTCGGCTCTGCCGCCCTGGGCGCTGCCCTTCCCCCCGCCGCCTGATCCGCGGCCCCCGCGTGCGCTCGGCAATTTAGTCGCGGCCGTAGCCCGCCCGCGACCCCCCGCCGCTGGCGCTTCCGCCTGCGGCTGTAAAAAAAAGAAGTATCCCAACCAGTTTGTTCTCGTCGCCGACTCGCCGCCAGTCGCCGCGCCGTGGTGTCCCCACCGCCGGGACGTCTACGCCGGCCTCTGGCGTTCAATTTGGGTCATGTTGTCCCTCGCATGTGCATATGCCACTGCGGCCAATTGGCTTCGATCGCGCCCCGTTCGTTGTCGACCCGCTTCCTGACCTTCGCCTGGGAGCCGCCGACCCAAAAAAACGTATCCCAACCAGCCCAGCCAAGACACGATCGCCAGGCGAGTTTTGCCTGGATAAGGGGGGCAGCGTAGAAGCACGCAGTGCGGCAGCCGCCGTGGGTGCCCTTCGGGGGTGCGGGGAGTGCGGTGAATTTTCTGACATTGCATAACACGTTTTTCGCTAACGAACTCGAGATCCCAAAGACGTTAATTTTTTCCGAGGTCGAATTTATATTTGTGCGTTTGCCGACTTGATTACTTTTTTGTTCTATTTGATGAATTGCCCACGGTTTTCTTCTTTCTGTCACAATGTATCAGAGCCCCGAATCATCAGGGGTAGCTCGGGTCAGGGTTAGCTCGGGATCGTGTTGCGGGAGTCCGAACCCGAGTTACCCCGGACCCGAGCTACCCCGGATAACTCGGGCGTCCAGAGCCCCGCATCATCAGGGGTAGCTCGGGTCAGGGTTAGCTCGGGTTCGTGTTTCGGGAATCCGAACCCGAGTTGCCCCGGACCCGAGTTACCCCGGATGACTCGGGCGTCCAGAGCCCCGCATCATCAGGGGTAGCTCGGGTCAGGGTTAGCTCGGGTTCGTGTTTCGGGAATCCGAACCCGAGTTGCCCCGGACCCGAGTTACCCCGGATGACTCGGGCGTCCAGAGCCCCGCATCATCAGGGGTAGCTCGGGTCAGGGTTAGCTCGGGTTCGTGTTTCGGGAATCCGAACCCGAGTTGCCCCGGACCCGAGTTACCCCGGATGACTCGGGCGTCCAGAGCCCCGCATCATCAGGGGTAGCTCGGGTCAGGGTTAGCTCGGGTTCGTGTTTCGGGAATCCGAACCCGAGTTGCCCCGGACCCGAGTTACCCCGGATAACTCGGGCGTCCAGAGCCCCGCATCATCAGGGGTAACTCGGGTCAGGGTTAGCTCGGGATCGTGTTTCGGGAATCCAAACCCGAGTTACCCCGGACCCGAGTTACCCCGGATAATTCGGGCGCCCAAATGTAGGTTGAACAGGTTGACCTGGCGCCGTTTGGGCTCCACGGGAGTTCTCTTGGGGCCCCCTGCGAAAGATCGTGACCTGCCACTCTTTTGCCATCGGGGAAAGGGCTCCTGCACCACCATGCTGCCAATGCTTTTCCGAACGGGTTCAGAAACACAGCAGATCAGATTGCCCCGCATGAGAGGCGGACGATGAGGAGGAGGAGGAGGAGGAGGAGGAGGAGGAGGAGGAGGAGGAGGAGGAGGAGGACGTGGGAGGGGGAGGATGAGGTTGCATTTTGCCCTGGATGTGTTTTTTTTGCGAACGGGTTTTGAACATCGTAGAACTTGTATTGGCCCGAACGCGAAAGGAGAACAAGGAGGAAGAGGAGGAGGAGGAGGAGGAGGAGGAGGAGGAGGAGGAGGAGGAGGAGGAGGGGGAGGAGAAGGTGCAGGAGGAGGAGGAGGAGGAGGAGGAGGAGGAAAAGGAGGAGGAGGAGAGATTTGGGTGATCCTTGCTGCTTCTTGTAGCGTCTTTGATTCCTCGGAGGAGCCTCTTTGGTCTCTCGTAGGGGCTTCTTGGGGGCCTCCCTGGTGATGCTGAGCGCCTCTTTGGTGATGCTGGGAGCCCCTTTGGGCTTTCTTGGGGCCATTGTGGAGGAGATCGATCAAAGAAGGGGGGGGGTCAGACATTCCCATCCCCCCGTCGGCGGCTCCAAGGTGGTCTCGGGCCCTCTTGGGCCGCTCTTGGGCATCTCTTAGACGCTCTTGGGGCCTTCTTGGGGCTGCCTTGGGCCCCTCTCGGGGCTCTCTTGGGCCATCTTGGGGCCATCTTGAGGGCCAAGAGGCCCATCGGAAGCGAGAAGGCGAGAAGCTAACAATTTTCATCATACCTACCGGTGTGATCTCGCACTGCATTATTTCGACCAACCGTGTCTGGAATGTGCTGGACGTGCCCTGGGATGTGCGAAGAGATGTGTCCTGGACTGAACGCCGGTGCGTGTCCTGTCTCCGTCTGCTGGAAGGAGTGCCCGGAATGTGCTGGACTGGAATGCGTGCCTGGAGTGTGCTGGACGTGCCCTGGGACGAGCGAAGACATGCGTCCTGGAGTGTGAACGCCTGGGTGTGTCCTGTCTCCGTCTGCTGGCCTGCGTGCTGGGATGTCTGCTGTCTGCGCGCTGCTCCGATGTCTCCGCTCTCCGCTGCTGGAATGCGTGCCTGGAATGTGCTCGACGTGCCCTGGAATGAAGGATTGCAAACAAAAACCCTGGATTGCAAAAAACCCTTGGTTTTGGATTGCAAAAAAACCCTTGTTTTTTTTGCAATCCTTCGGGTTTTTTTGCAATCCTGGGTTTTTTTGCAATCCTTCGCGAAGACATGTGTCCTGTAATGTGAACGCCTGGGTGTGTCCTCTCTGCGTCTGCTGGCCCGCGTGTTGGGATGTCTGCTGTCTGCGCGCTGCTGCGACCATCCGTGTTGGTGTGCGTGTCGACGCGTCGAAGGCTGTCCCCGCCCCGTGGCCTTTTTTGCCCTCCCCCCACGAGCCCCCCCCCCCCCGGTTTATTCCAACCGACCGTGCCCCACCCCCCTGTCCTCCGTGCCCCCTCCCCCCAGCTTATTCCGACCTACCGTGCCCCCTCCCCTTTGCCCGTCCCGTGGCCCCCCCCCGTCTTATTCCGACCGACCGTGCCCCCCTCCTCTTTCCGCCCCCCCCTCCCCGTTTCCCCCCCCCTCGCCCCCCCCTGGCTTGTTTCGACCATCCGTGTCCCCTCCCCCCTCCCTGTCCCGTGCCCTCTCCACGCCCCGTGGCTCTTTTTCCTCCCCCCCCCTCGCACCCCCTTCTTTATTCCGACCGACCGTGACCGTGCCCCGCCCCCCGCCGTACTCCGCCGCCCCCCCCAGCTTTTTCCGACCGGCCGTGCCCCTTCCGGTGCCCCCCTTGTCTTATCCGACCGACCGGCCTCCCCTCCCCCGCCCCCCCTCCCCTCCCCATTTCCCTCCCCCCTCGCCCCCGCCCTGGCCTCTTCCGACCGGCCGTGTCCTCTCCCCCCTCCCTGTCCCGTGCCCTGTCCCCGCCCCGTGGCCCTTTTGCCCTTCCCCCCTGGCTTCTTTCAACCGACCGTGCCCCCGCCCGTTCGTCCTCCGTGCCCCCCCCCCCTTGTCTTATTCCGACCGACCCCTTCCCCTCTGCTTGTCCCGTGCCCGTGCACGTTGTGCAGCAAGAAGTGAGTCTTTCATATGTATATGTATGTATGGATGTGTATACATATACACATATATGTATATATATATATATATGCATGCACATATCGTGTTTGAACATTTATGCGGTGCTATTGCTGTCCAAGTAAATACGACATATGTACGTAATGTATGCGGCGGGGTTCCGTCTCCCCGGGTCCGTCTAAATTTCTTAAAACAACACTGCCTAAACGTGTTTCCCGTGTCCGGAACGGTCCCCAGCATGATTTCTCTCGCGCGATCGCCGAGGCGCTGGTCGATATCCCGCCGCGGTTGGATCCAGCCAGCTCAGTTCAGCCAGGAAGTGGATCCAGTCATGGTGGAACCTGCCCCGCTCAGGATTCAGCGCGTTGGATCCAGCATCGTGGGCCCCGCGGGCTGGCTCCATGGCGGGCGGGATCTGTGCTTGGCTGGATCAACTCTCTGGCTGGATCCACTTTCTGACTGGATCCACTTTCTGGCTGGATCCACTTTCCAACCGATGGCGCGTTCGACCTTAGTTCTGCTAGCAGGGGGGGGTAACACCAAGCAACCGTTGCGCCACCTGTAAGCAGTCCGTTGCCCGACGGCGTCGGCGACGGGACTGAATGAGAGAATTAGGGATGAGGCAGTCGGACATTGGGAAACCACCCCCCCCACATCGCCCTCCCCCCAAGTTCGAAGCCCCATCCCCCATGCAATCTCGAAAGCACAATGGGAATCTAACCGGAGTCAGATGCCTCCTTCTGGGCCTTCTTCTTGCCCCTCTTTGCCTTCGCCTTCGCCGCCGTGGCCATCTTCTTCGAGCTGCTGCCGCCTTCCTTATCCTTCTTTCTCTGCTCCTGCTGCTGCATCCTCTGATGCTTCTCGTCCCTCGGGATACAAATCTCGGACGCCAGGGTTTTCGCGTTCGTGGTCAGCGCGCGTTTCGCCAGCTGGTTCTCGGAGTCGCATGCATTGACGCTCACCTGGCGTCGCGCTCACGTCGAAACGTCGGCGCTAAACTCGCACCTGGCAGTCCAATGTCCGAGCCCCTCGTCGCCATCCGGATCGTCGAGCGGTCGGACCATCGCAAGTCGACTCGCTGGCACTCCAAGCTCGCACGCACAACAGAACAAGCAACGAACGATGCACTGCATGAACATCAGCACACCACACGGGGCGTGCGCACGCGCGCTGCCAGACGGGCGCACGCGCAAATCAAGCAGCCCCAACCTGCTTTTTTTGTACTTCGCGGGGTCGATCGTCGTCAGCGACGAGAGGCCGTGCTCCTGGCACTCGTCGGCCACCTCAAGGACTGGGGACGGCATGCCCCCACTCCCCGCCTCCCAGCATATTCGCGCTCGTCCTCCGTACTTGCGTCACCTCTCATATCTCCTCGTATCGCCGCATCGCCTTCCCCGTCCTCCCCATCCCCAGCGTCGTTGGCGTCGTCGTCAGCATGACCCCGCTCCGCGTCGCCTCGCGCATGGCCGCGTCCATGCTCTCGCGCATCAGTCCACCGCCCGTCCATCCGTCATCGAGCTTGATGAGCCTGTCGAGCTTGGCGCTCTGCACCATGCACCAGTCGTAGCTGTCCTTCAGCTTCTTAAAGTTGGTCACGAACTCAGGCGTCTCTTTCCTCACCTGTTCGGTTTCGGACGTAGGCGGACCATCCTCCTGGCCACCATCACCCTTCTGTTTCTCGTCCTTCGTCCCATCGACATTCACATCCTCGCCGTCCTCCTTGCGCTTCTTGCCCTCATCCACAGAGGCCTCATCATCATGATGGCCCGAATTAGGTTCTTTCTTATCGCCAACCTCCTTTTTTTGTTCCTCGTGCTTTTCCTTTTTGTTTTTATCATATTTTTGTATTCTAATTTTTTTTGTTCTTCCCAGCCTCGGCGCGCTCCTCGCGTGCCTCGTCGCCGCCGCCTCCCTCCGCCTGCGCCGCGCCGGCGCCTCCCTCCTCGCCCGTGGCACTCTGTCCACCGCTGCCGCGGCCCGCCGAGTCTGGGCGCGCCCACTCCCTGTGCTTCGTCCACCGCCTCTTGCCGGACTCGATGCGCTGATGGCGGACGCGCAGGTGCTCCGCAGTCTCTGCCATGCCGTCCCAGCGGGCCCGGATCCCACCGAGCAGCGTGCTTCAGCGCCAGGCGGATGCCAGATGTGCAGCCACCTTTCAGCCGCGCCAGCCTCACCAGCGTGATGTACTCTCCTTTCCTCTTGACGTCTCTCTCGTTCGTTTCCACGATGATGTCCTTCGCGCTCTCCTCCCACTCCTGGTGCTTGCCGATCAGCCAGCCTCGCCTGAACTTTCGCTTGTTTGACCAGCCCTTCTGCTTCGCGCAGTCACGCCTCAGTCCTTCTGGCGCGTCCAGGGCACGCCTCCAACGCCCCGACGCGGGGTTCCCTGCCTTGGTCTCCGTGCTGAACATGAATTTCCCCCTCTCCATCTCATGGAACGTCTTCTCTTCCTTGTCCTTAGCACTGGGGCCATCCAAGTCATTCGTCGTCGTATTCAAGTCGTCGTAGTCGAAGTTTGGGTCGGCCTTGTTCAACTCCGTCAACTTCTGCGCGAGCCCTGCCTGGAAGAATTGGCTCATCCTCACGTTCATGTGTTCCATGGTGCGCTCGTCTGGGTCGGGGTTGACCTACAGCTCGTCATTGATGGCCCCTCCGTCGGTGTCGATGGCATGGATCAGCTCCTCGTTGCTCTCGGGATGGGGGTTCGAGAACATCGGGCTGGCCTCCCCGATCGGCTCGCGCTTTGCGTTGACGATGCCCATCGAGCGGTGGTCCCCCAGGGGGGCGGATCCAATCGACGAGGGCGCTGAGGTTTGGGCGGGAGGCCCATTTGCACGGACACCAGGCGCCTCGCTCCACGGCTGCTTCATCACTGGCACTTCGCGCGAGTCTTCGGCCATGCAAGAATGCGAGTGCGCGAACCATGTTCTCAACTGCTCACATCAACTTCCATGTGTGCTGCAATTTGCTACTTGCACACTGCGCGCGCATACGACCCGACATTGCAACTTCTACGCAATTTCTACGCGTAGAAATTGCGTAGAAGTTAGATTCCGCTTCCTCCCACACCATTCCACTCGAGCCATCCCTCCATCGCTAAGTCGCCCCGTCCCACGGGTTTGTTTTTTTCCATGCCTGTTCTTACTCTGTAGTCCACGCAGTGTCTTCTCCTGACCATCCTTCAGCGTATGCTCACCGCTTTCTCCTGTCGCACAGCGAGGTACAACATAGGACAATGCTAGGGGATAAGAGTGCACGAGAGGATCGAACGCGCGCTATTCTGGGCGTGGACGGGAGCAGTGGCAGGGATATATGTATAGACGCAGCGGCGCGGGCCTGGCGAAGCTGCGCCGAGGGCTCGTCATCGGAGCTTGGAACCACGTGGTCTCGTGGACACTCGTAGCGGACGTCGCGCAGCTCCTCAGCCTCCGTGGCCGTCTTAGTCTCCTCAGCCTGATTTGTCCTGGCCGCCTCTGCCTCCTCAGCCTTCCTTGCCTCCTCTGCCTCAGTTGTCCTCGTCTCACTGGGCGCGTCGACCCGACCTCCCCCGAGGCCGTCCTGTTCGAACATTGAACCCAAGTCTGCTGCCAGGACGTCTGCGCCTGGTGAATTCACAGGGGCTGAGCGGCGCTGACCCGACTGGGGGGTGGTATCGGCACTGCCCTTCGAAAAGCTATCCGACTTGGTCTTTGGGCTTCCTCCTCCTCCTCCTCCTCGCACCTTGCTTCTGGCTCTGCGCCTCGGCGGAGTGTGGGAACCCGCCCTGTTCCGCCCGGCCCTGTTCCGCCGTCGTGCTTTCACATGCGGGGGCGCTCTCCTGGCGGAACCGGGCTTCGCCGGAACCTGGCCTCGGCGGAACCGGGCCTCGGCGGAACCGGGCCTCGGCCAAACCGGGCCTCGGCGGAACCGGGCTTCGGCGGAACTGTGCTCGGCGGAACCCAATGGACGGGCAGTGCAAATTCCGCCGCGACGTTTCCGCTCGGTGTTCGGGTGTGAGGGTGTTAGGGTGTTTGGGTGATACTATGTTAGGGCGCTAGGGTGTTAGACTGTTAGGGCGTTGGGGTGTTAGGGTGTTAGGGTGTTAGGGTGTTGGGGTGTCAGGGTGTTAGGGTGTGAGGTGTTAGGGTGTTCGGATGTAATGGTGTTAGGGTGCTCGGGTGCTCGGTTGTCAGAGCGTTAGGGCGTTCGGGCGTTAGGGTGTTAGGGCGTTAGGGTGTGAGGGTGTCAGGGTGTTAGGGTGTTAGAGTGTTAGGGCGTTTGGGTGTTACTTCAATATCCCGCTCGGTCGATGCGACCCGCCCGTTAGGGTACTCGCGTGCCAACTCGATGATGCATCATATTTTCATGTCCCGCCCACCCAACCCGAATCGCCTGTTAGGGTACTCGCGTGCCAACTCGATGATGCATCATACTTTAATGTCCCGCCCGCCCGACCCGACCCGCCCGTTAGGGTACTCGCGTGCCAACTCGATGATACATCCTACTTTAATGTCCCGCCCGCCCGACCCGACCTGCCCGTTAGGGTACTCGCGTGCCAACTCGATGATGCATAATTTTTTCACGTCCCGCCCGCCCGACCCGACCCGCCCGTTAGGGTACTCGCGTGCCAACTCGATGATGTTCATACTCGCGTTCATGGTCTCCGTACCGATGATGCCCCCCGCCCGCCCGACCCGGCCCGCCCGTTGGGGTACTCGCGTCGATGATGCATCATACTTTAATGTCCCCCCGCACGACCCGACCCGCCCGTTAGGGTTGCCACTCGATGATGTACTTTCATGTCCGCCCACCCGACCCGAATCGCCTGTTAGGGTACTCGCGTGCCAATCGTTGATGCATGATGTCCCACGACCCGACCCGCCCGTTAGGGTACTCGCGTTCCGTCCCGCCCGCCCGACCGGCCCGTTACGGTACTCGCGTGCCAACTCGATGATGCATCATGATTTAATGTCCCGCCCGCCCGACCCGGCCCGCCCGTTGGGGTACTCGCGTGCCAACTCGATGATGCATCATACTTTAATGTCCCGCCCGCACGACCCGACCCGCCCGTTAGGGTACTCGCGTGCCAACTCGATGATGCATCATACTTTCATGTCCCGCCCACCCGACCCGAATCGCCTGTTAGGGTACTCGCGTGCCAATTCGTTGATGCATCCTATTTCAATGTCCCACCCGCCCGACCCGACCCGCCCGTTTGGATACTTGTGTGCCAGTTCGATGATGTATCATACTTTAATGGCCCGCCCGCCCGACCCGACCCGCCCGTTCGGGTGCTCGCGTGCCAACTCGATGATGCATCCTACTTTAATGTCCCGCCCGCCCGACCCGACCTGCCCGTTGGGGTACTCGCGTGCCAACCCGGTGATGCATCCTATTTCAATGTCCCGCCCGCCCGACCCGACCCGCCCGTTAGGATACTTGTGTGCCAACTCGATGATGTATCATACTTTAATGTCTCGCCCGCCCGACCCGACCCGCCCGTTCGGGTACTCGCGTGCCAACTCGATGATGCATCATACTTCAATGTCCCGCCGCCCGACCCGACCCGACCCGCCCGTTAGGGTGCTCGCGTGCCAACTCGATGACGCATCATATTTTAATGCCCCGCCCGCCCGACCCGACCCGCCCGTTGCGGTACTCGCGTGCCAACCGGATGATGCATCCTACTTTGATGTCCCGCCCGCCCAACCCGACCCGACACGCCCGTTAGGGTACTCGCGTGCCAACTCGATGGCGCATCATACTTCAATGCCCCGCCCGCCCGACCTGACCCGCCCGTTAGGGCACTTCAGTGCCAACCCGATAATGCATAATATTTCCAATTGCGGCGAAGAGGCGGAGGCAGAGGATGACCGCGACGAGGAGGAGGAGGACGAGGAGTACTTCCACCAGGGCGGTTCTGATCCTACACTTCAGTCCTTCTTCCGTGTTTACAATCTGCCCGCCGGAACTCCCCTGTCTC